GTTAGGGATAATGGGTACAAAAGTTTAGCTATTACAAGGACAATTTAAGGAAATTTAATTTGTAGTTATTCCATGTACTTTCTCAAAATTCAAATCACCAAAAATTAGTGATTCAAAAAAGGCAAACGACTAGCATCTAAATTTGTACTTATTAGATAAGATTCTGTTCCAGATAATATGTGTATCCTCCAAGTTGCACTACTTTATCTTGTCCAAAATTTGAGCAGGTTTAATTTCCAATTGTTGATCTCTATTTTCCCTCTATGTGACAACATAGAGACCTGAGAGTCACTGCTGACATTTCTTTCTCACTGTACCCTACAGCCACTAAGTTAGTAAGCCCTGACAACTTTTCCTCCTACATGGCTCAGGTAATTGTCCGCTTCTCACCATCCTCATTGCTAGTATTCAGATCCAAGCTATCATCATCTCTTGCTTACACTAGTGCGATAGCCTCCTAAATGATCTCTCAAACCAATTAACATTCTGCTTAAAACCCTTCAACAGCTTATATACTACATTTAAGAAATTCCTTAAAGGAGCATATAAGGCCCTATACTGATCTAACCCTCTTCTATTTCTTGAGTCTCTTTCTCATCTCCTTGACTTTCTCCCTTTACTCAGACATCTCCCCCTCACCCCATTCCTTAAAAGGGTCAGAAACCGGGTTGAAAATGGAGAGGTTATATCGAACATGCTTATCCGTAAGACAAAAATAAGAAAATCAGGTTATAGGTGCAATTTGGTAGGAAAAATATCTCTTTCAAAACATGGGGTCCATTGTTGGGGTAGAAAATTCAGAAAGCAATGAGATGAAGGAATAATCACCGTCAAAGAATCTCAAGCTGACCACGAGGCTAATTAGCATAATGAGTAATTATACAGACTTTGGAATCAGACAAATCAGGTTCTGATCATGACTCAGCCACTTAAAACCTATTTAACTTCCGGTGAATCATAAAGCCTCTGAGCCAGAATTTCCACAATAAGACAATATTTTATCCTTCACAAGGATTAAGTTATATACATCTAGCATTTGGCATGATTTCAGCACATAGTTAAGCTGTAAATAAACAGTGGTATATTATTAATATTAGGAAGAAATGAGACTATAACAATAATATGCCATATATCAGGCAAGAATAAACCATGTTTAATCAATGCTAAAGATAATGAGCATCCCTGGGACAGAAACTAGACCAAATTCTCCCAAGAGGTTTATGGACTCTGGTTACTTGGTACTCCTCCCTCTAGTACCAAGGATAAGTATCCAGGTAACCACTAGCTTAGGATGACCTAAGCATATATTTGCTCCCAAGGAGTCTTGTTTTTTAGTTAAGACAGTGCTCTGCTTCAGATAGTTTGTTTCCTGTTCTCAGAATAAACACCTAAAATTTGAATTTTTCCCTAATCTTTGTAGTCAGGATGTTGTGAACTTTGTTGGGATAAGAAACCAGTGTTTTCTATATGACTAAGTCAGCTTTATCCAGACTATACAAATCCAACCATTGTGTTTGTGGCTGCTTTTACTGGAAATGAATGAACACAGCTTGTGGTGTCCATCTCTTCCTTTACTGTCTGTATTGGTTAAGATTGTGTGTCAACTTGGCTGGGACATGATTCTCAGTGTTTTGGCAACTGTATAAAGTTGTGATCACTTCCCTGTTGAAATCTGATACATGATCACCCCCATGATGGAATCTGATGAGTGGTACCAGCAGAGGCGGGGCCTGTGGTGGTTCAGTGCTGCCTCAGCCTACATCTCCCCGCCCTCTTCTGCCTACTTCCTTCCTGCTCGCCTTGAGGAATTTTGCTTGTTCCAGTTCCTACAGCTGGCTCCTGTTCGTCTGGCCTCCAGTTTTTGGGACTTGGACTAGGTCTTGCCTGCCAATCTTGAGATTCGTCCATCTTCATAGCCTGCAAGAGCACTGCTCTTTGGCCTGCTGATCTTGGGTTCATCAGCCCCTGCAGCTACGTGAATCAGGAGAATTCTCTTTCAGGAGAATTCTCTTTTGTGCCTCATGGACTTGGGATGTACAGCCTCTAAAAACCACATAAGCCATTTCCTTGATATAAATCTCTCTTTACATACACACACACACACACACACACACACACACACACACACACATGCTTTTTACTGGTTTTGCGTCTCTATAGAACCCAGCCTAAGACACTCTCCTTGAGGACATAGATACACAAGCAATTGAACCCAAATAAATAATGACAAGGATAACAGAATAATGAAAGTATTAATTTAATTATTTAAGCATTTAAAATTCCTTTACAAAAAAAAAAAAATCAAAAACAATCATACATGATTTAGTGAAAAGAACAGTAGTGAAAAATAACAGAATATTGGTTCAGCCCCCAGTACTAATTATTTAGATAATCTTGAAGACATCACATACTTTCCCTGGGTTTCAAATTCTTCATATGTAATGAGAGGATTGAAGTTTATTATATTATCAAAATTCTATGAGTATATACATATACATATAGAAAATACGAATGGAATTTTTGTATATATATTTATATGTGCATCAGTAACCACATATACAGTTTAGTTTCTCATGAGGAAGCAGGTTATAAATGAGGGGACTAGAGTTCTCATGGGTAAGGCCTCTCTTGATGTCCTTGTTCTGGCATCTAAAATGCCCATATTCTCATTCCTCCATTGAAGGCAATAGAGCAGGGGTTCTCAAACTGCTGTCCCAGGGCACCAGTATCAGCATCACCCGGGACTTGTTAAAAATGCAGATCCTTCTAAGATACAACCATTGGTCTCCTTCTGTCCAGACTAAAGGAGAGCGAAGAAAACCAAAGACTAAAGGGAACAATTAGTCCAAAGGATGAATGGACCACGGGAACCACAGCCTCCACCAGCCTGAGACCAGAAGAACTAGATGGTGCCCAGCTACAACTAACCACTGCTCTGACCAGAATCACAAAGAGGGGTCCAAGTTAGAGTGGGAAAAAAATGTAGAACAAAATTCAATTTTTTTGAAAAGGCCAGATTTACTGGTCTGAGAGAGACTGGAGGAACCCTGAGATTATAGCCCTTAGACACCCTTCTAATTTGGAACTAAAGCCATTCCCAGAGATCACCTTTCAGTCAAGTAACAGACAGGCCTATAAATAAATAATAACACACGTGAGGAAAGTGTCGCTTAGAACAATCATCTACGTGAGACCAAAAGGACAACATATGCCCAAAAGCAAAGATGAGAAGGCAGAAAGGGGCAGGAAAACTGGACAAATGGAAATGGGGAACTCAGGGTAGTAAGTGGGAGAGTGCTGACACATTGCAGGGAGTGCAACCTATGTCATGGAAAAATTTGTGTATAAACTATTGAATGGAAAACTAATTTGCTCTGTAAACCTTCACCTAAAACACAATAAAAAATCTAAAAAAAAAATGCAAATCCTCAGGCCCTACTCCAGACGTACAGAATCAGAAACTCTGCGGTTGGAGCCCAGCAATCTGTGTTGTAACCTCTCCTTCAAGTGATTTTGATGCACACTAAAATGTGGGAACCATTGCATTCAAGCATTCATGGGGAAGAATTATAGCCTACAGTCATTGGCAGAAGTAGAGAGTCAGTAAATTAAAGAGAAGAGGGTACTCTACAGAGAACTTGGGTCAGAGGTGGTAAGAACAGAGGTTGGGGAGATATGGCAGCAGGGAGCCAGGGCATTTTGACAGTAGGGAGCTGGTCTGGATACGTGAATAGAGAGAAGAGACTCAAGCAGCAATGAGAATGTGTTAGCCACATGCTCCTATTCAAATCATTTGCTGTCATGCAGCATTTCTGCTATTGCGCTGAGAACTGCTGGTTTTCAAACCTTATTTCCTGCAGTGGATCCCAAAGGAGGACAATCATCCTCTATTCTCAGCCATAGGTACTCCTGACCCTTACAGTTATTTAGCACAGAACTTGAGATGCAAAGAGGTAACGCTTCTCAGAGCTGATTCAGCATGTCTTCTACAGGCTCTTTTCAACGACCCTACATTCTCCTGATTCCAATTTTAATTCTCCCCACAATGGCAGCTAATGGGTGGATATATGTTCAGGAAAAGTAAGAAAATTCCTGGAGTTTTTCTGGGCTAGAGGTGAGCTTCGGCAGAGAAAGTTGCAGGGGTGAGAATAAGTCTATGAAAGCACAAGGCAAAAACTCAGCATGAACACTCTTCAGGAGGCTTATGGATGCAGTGTTGTCATCCAGGACATTGCCCTGAGACGGGAATCCCCGGCTTTGCAGCTTCCTGGCCAATGTGAGGGCCACCAGTCGGCTATAACCTTTTCTGCAATGCTCTGGCAAGGTGTAGCCATGGCACATGGTGGCAAACTGGTCTGTGATAGCCCAGGAGACTGGGCTTCCTCTGTCATCACGGACACACACACTGGGGAAGCAGGAGATGAGGTTGGCGATGTACCAGAGACACTGTTCATTGCCACCCCGCGACCAAGTCCGGTTGAATAGATCAGCATCTGCATCACTCAAGTAGGTTAGTCGTGGGGAAGAACCCATCCTAGAAGAAAATATCCACGAAAAAAAAAATGAGTGTGGAATTACATGACTGAACAACTACTCTTTCTACACTGATTAACTGAGATGTCATCCAAGAAGACAACGCCTAGCAAATACTATCTTCTGGAGCCCTCGTAGTGTAGTGGTTAAGAGCTACAGCTGCTAACCAAAAAGGTCGGAGGCAGTTTGAATCCACCAGCCACTCCTTGGAAACCCTATGGGGCAGTTCTACTCTGTCCTATAGGGTCGCCATAAGTCAGAATTGACTCAATGGCAACCGGTGGTGGGTGGTGATTGTTAGGAGACTGGTAATGTGAACCTTGCTATGATCTTAATAAGTACATTTGAGTTTTCATTTTATTAGTGGTTCTGTAGCCTTGGTTCACATTTCAGGCATACTGTGGGCTCTGGCAGTGGCTAGTCATCTAACCACTAAATAGGGATAAAATAAATAAATAAAAGCAGTAACTGGCTTAATAGGATTCATAATTCAATTTTTGAAATTGTGCTTTAAAACCAGGGCAAATAAGCCTCAGGCAGAAATGCCACTGCAAATAAAAACAAGTGTTTCAGGAATAGTCATGTTGCAGACTATGATCTTGTATCTGTAGGGCAGGGTGTGGAAAATATAGAGTACATAAATTTGGGTCATGATCTAAAGACAGATTGTCTAACTTTCGTTGCAAACAAGATCAATTCAAGTTGAAACCTGATTTTTTAAAAGGTCTAACTGGGGACAGAGGAAAATTTTAAATGACGTCTCAGAGATATGATCAGTAAACAGACCGTGGGAACTTCCAGGGGACAAAAAAATCTAGTTTCTTCAACAAAAAATAATATAAGAAATTAAAAATCTATAGGTATAGGGTCACTATGAGTCGGAATCAACTCGACGGCAACGGGGTTTGGGGTAGGTAAAAAGATACTTAAGAGACATGTTACCAACTGCAATGCATGGGCCTTATTTAGATCCTGATTCAAAACAATTTTAAAAAATTATGACAACTGGGAAATGTGATTACTAACTGGTTATTTTAGTGTTAAAAATTTTTAAGGAGTGATACTAATATAGTTTTCTGTTGTTGTTTTTAAACATCCTTATCTTTTAGAGATACACACTAAAATATTTAAGGATAATATAACGCCTGGAATTTCCTTCAGAATAATCCAGGAATGGAAGGAGTAGATAGGGGCCTGTATGAAACAAGATTAGCCACATTATCGATGGAAGATTCATTTCACTATTCTCTCAACTTTTTGTATGTGTTTGAAATTCCTCATAATTAAAAATAAAGTCCAGTTGCATCACTGTGATCTAAAGGATCTGTTGTTCTTGAGGTTTTGTCTTGTTTTGCTCATCAATTCCTTCAATATACCTCCGGCTATGGATTGAATTTATGCCCCCAAAATATGTGTTGTCAATCCTAACCTCTATCAAAAAACACCAAACTCCTTGCTGTGGCCTGTGGTTAAAATCTCATTTGGGAATGGGTTGTCTTTATTATGTTAATGAGACAGGCTTAGTGTAGGGCATATCATAAGTCAGTCTCTTACAAAATATAAAAGAGCAGATAAAGCCAGCAGAGATGGTGGAAGATAGATGCCAAGCCACATGGAGAGTTCCAAGGAACTAGGAAGCAGAAGCTGAAGAGACAAGGACCTTACCCCAGAGATGACAGAGAGAAAGCCTTCCCCTAGAGCTGGTACTCTGAATTAGGACTTCTAGCCTCCTATACAGTGAGGAAAAAAAAATTCTGTTTGTTAAAGCCATCCACTTGTGGTAGTTCTGTTACAGCAGCACTAGATAACTAAGACACCCCCTAGAAGTAAAGAAAATATTCACTGAGGTGGATACTTTCAAGTATCTTGTTTAATTCTCACAAAAACCATGTAAGGTAGGTATTATAATTTAATTTTTGAGAAGAAATTGAGGCTGAGAAAGGCTAAGCTACAGTGAAGGTAGCTAGTAAAAGGGCAGGGGCTCCAAAGTAAGAGAAAAGGAGAATGTAAGTGTAAAATAACAAATGTTTGAAGGCTTGGTTTCTGGAATTGGACTTGTGGGGATTATTTCCTGGCTCTACTATTATTTTACTCCTGTATGTTATTTCAACTCTGTTAAAAAAGAGAATAATAGTCATACTTTATAGGGTTGTGGTAAGGATTAAACAGATTATATAGTTAAAACATTTCATGACTGGCACAGAGGAGCTCAACATAAGTCAGTTATATATCCCCACCTAGGAGATAATGAAAGCAGTCAAAACAACCTTGGGCTCAGATGATAGAGACAATTTAGAAGCATGTGGGGAGGAGAATGTTGAGGAATGATTTTTTTGTTTTTTCTGCGTATTGAGAAACAGGGTTTTAATTCTTGTGCAATCCAGCCTTCTGGAGTCCATGGAGGTGGGGGGACCCACTCAGGCCATTGCTCTGAGATGTTCTTTTGAACCTTGAGCCTTGAGGAAACTGGGTTCTAAAAGTCACTTTTAAGCCAAGCAGTGGTCTAGATAAATTAGTAAAGACCATTTAGCCTTAGGAATTGGCCTATTTTGAACAATTATCTATGTGTAGTCAGACCTATGTTCTCAGTTTGGAGAAACAGAAACTCCAAAATCATACTAGAAGCTGTGTTTCAGGGTAAATTGTTATTAAATAAATACACTGTTTCTGGCCCCATTTCCATGGCTATGTAGATAAGATGGAGTATAAGGATCTTTGGAAGTTCTTTCCTTCTAGAATACTTTAGACTCCCTAGTTGAAATATTATCCTGATTTTCAAATTATATATTAAATAAACATCAATCTCTATTATTGTCTTAATATGATTTTTGTTTTAACAGTATCATATGAAAATACAGGGTTCCTGAGTTCATTTGTAACTGTGGACAAAGATACCGATTTGATTTCCCAGAAGTTATGAGTAATCAAGCACAAGGGAAAGGAAAAGAGTATACAGTAGACATACACACACACACACACACACACACACAAATAATTTAGTCTCAATGGCCCAACGCCAAGGTGCCTAAATATTCCTGAACGATACTAAGAATTCCAGTTACTCTACTTCTATAGCAGTAATACCCACCCCAAATGCAGAAAATCGGTTTACATACAGGGAGCTGATGTCTGGCAGAGTTGGAACAGGGGAAAAATGAACCCCCTTGAAGGAAGTCAGCTTTACATCCAACTGCTCTGAGTTGGCAACAGCTTTGGAAATATCATATGAGTCACTCTGCAGCCCTGTATATAGAAAGACATAATGAAAAGTGTGGGCGTTGTAATTAAAAGAGCAAAAAGAAAGGAAATTTGCTGCACTATTTTTATACTAAGTATCATCGATACCATCAGTTTGACATTGTGCTACCTTGTATTATCCTAACCATTATATATACATATTTGTTGCTGTTGTTAGGTGCCATCGAGCCAACTCATAGCAACCCCACGTGACTTAGTAGAACTGCGCCATCGGGTTTTCTTGGCTGTGATCTACAGAAGCAGATCGCCAGAAAATCTTTCTCCAGTGGAGCCACTGGGTAGGTTCAATCTGCCAACGTTTTGGTTAGCAGCTGAGTGCTTAATCATTTGTATACATTGGTTATTGTATGTCTAATTTTCAAATTTTGTGTGGGGATTTTTGAATTGCCATCATGCTGCTCATTGCGGTCATATAGTGTGATGTTCTATGGAAACTTTTGGTGGGACTATCCCATAGGAATTTGGAATTTCTTGGAGGAATTTTTATTTTTTTTTGACTCTCAGACTGATTTTAATCTCCTTAAGGTGTGGGGTGATGTTTTATAGCTCTAAAAGTATATGATATACCATACAACTAAAAGTATAAAAGATCTTAGATTTGTTTGATGTGGTACTCCAACTTTAAAGACTCTTCCAGCCCAATTTTCAAATGCCCATTAGAGAAATGAAATCCAGTGTTGGTGAGTTTTATCCTGAATTTATACTCACCCAGATCCCATTCATTTATCATAGCTGTAACATATTAATTATAAATATTTATTTGTGCGTGTTTTGTATAAAGCACTGTGCTGGGCACCTGTCTGACAGTGGAACACAAGAATGGTATTTGTTCTTATAGAGTTAATAGTAAGGAAGGTTATCACCCTTGTTCTGCCTTTCCAAAATTTCATCTGTTCTATCCTTTCCAGTTTGTGCTCTGGTAACTGAATTCCTGGAACACTGAGTTTCCCACTTCCTTCACATCGAATGGCATGTTTCCTCCTCCATGGTTTAAGTCACTTCTCCAACTTGGCCCTGAGACTTTCCCTTGGAAAAATACATGAATGGGAAGCCATGTTGAACACGGTCTAACATCTGAGCCTTGGCTCTTGCCTCAAGGAATTAGGCTTCAAAAAAAGATAAGCAGGTCTTCAATAAGCATTGGTTAAGTAATTGATGCAAAGTTAATGCTATTAAAATTATAGATGCGGCTAGAATACCATATTATCAACTTAAATTGCGTCTAAGAAATGAAAAAAGACTATGAGGAAAAAAAGCATCACCAACCAAAAGGATGGATGGTAGAGCAAACAGAATTTCTTTCTTCCAAGTTAAACTGTACCAATTATTTCTAAAGCCAGCTTGACACTTCTCTTAAAAGCCCTTTTAACTGTAAAATGTAGCATAGATACAGAAAATTGCTTAAAACAAATATGACAATTAATTATATCTTATAACTACTTCTAAATCCAAGAAATAGAAATTTGCAAACCAACTTCTATTTACTTCCCAATCACAATTCCATCCTCTCCTAAACATAACCACTATCCTAATTTTTATGGTAATCACTTCCTTATTTTGCTTTATGATTTTATCATTCAAGTATACATCCTTAAACATTATAGTTTAATTTTGCCTTTTTACAAATGTATTGTAAGTCTCTTACTCTAGAGAGACTCTTTGAATTTCCTTCAATTTATTTGTTAAAGAATCCAGTTCTTTGCAATGTAAAGTTTCCACAGGCTGAATTTTGCCGATTAGTACATCTCCATTGTGTTGTTGACCGTATCCCTCTGACCTTTGTATACGTTATCTCTTTTAATGGTGATTTTCTTCTTTCCCAGAGGAAATAGGAACTTCCACTTATCGCTCGGCCTCTGCCCACCTCACTTCTCCACTTTTAGCTTTTCTCCTGAGAAGGCGAGTAGTAGCTAACTGGATAAGCCAGAAGTCAGGACATTCATTAGACCACAGGTACCAGTGGACGGTCTTCTGAAACTTTCTGGTTAGTGCTCATTGAGACAAACCCTCTTTCATCTGTGCAATCAGTAGTGAGCAAAAGGGCCTGGCCCAAATGCAGAACATTGGTTTATATACAAGAAACTGATGTTTAGCAGGTTGAAATAGGAGAAAAATGGACTGCCTTGAAGGAAGTCAGCTTTACATGGGTAGGTTGTATACTTTTTCATTTATCTTCACATGGTGAGTAGATGACTAGGTAAGTAAGCTCAGAGGCTTGCTTAAGGCTAGATGTTCAGAGTATATGCGCTTGTGTACATATGATCGTATATTCTTATACACATATATTCATTGGACTATTCACTGTAGTATCAGAGCTTTGTATTGGAATACCAAACGGTTGCCCAGATACTAATAAGGTGGAACTTTATCAGTTGTCCATTCTTCCATGTGCATACCCTATCTTGAAAGGAACTGTAGAATGGAGAAGACTTGAGGATTCTGATTCAGGCTGTAAAATCCCATACTGAATTCCCAAAAGCGAGGCCACTAGATATTTGTGCTGTAAATTTTGTGATCTATATGGGGCTGGGATTGGAGGTGGGTGGCGATGGAGAAATAGAAAAGAAGCAGGGTGGTAAAGAAATAGAAAGAAGAAATAATCCTTACTTGCTGCCTATAATGCTTATACCAGTGCAGACCTGACTGGGCAACATATTCCCAACTTTGACATGAAGCAAGGTATGTCATAATCCTAAAATAGACACCTCATATACACAACAGACCACTGACAATATCAAATTTTACCTGAACCCTGTGATCCTGGAAATAGCAATGGTTAAAGAAATCCCCCCATCTTTTGTGTTCCAGAAAATGGCTGACTGTAAAGAACACCCTTCTTCATATAATTTAAATAAGACTCATAGATGCCTCCTTGTTTACCTACAATAAGGCCAGACACAGGCCTTCCAAATCTCCATTCTTTGCCTCATAAATGATTAACTGAAATGTTTGTCCCCACTGATCAGTTGGAACAAAATACTTGTTAACCAGACTTTGGTTAAGCTTGTTTCCCTCCCCCAGGTCCTTGAACTTTGGCCCACTCTCAGCCTGAACCAGCTTACAGCATCTCATTAAGAGCCCGTTCTGAAAATAGGCTATCCTCAGTGCAAAACATTCTCTGATGTACTATCTGATCATACCCCCTTCATCCCACTTCTGCACACCTGGTTCTTTCTAGCTTTGTTTACTCTTGTGTCAGTATAAGAAAAACCCTTTATGCTTAACTCGTGAAACACTTGCTGATCTTATGGTTAGAGTGTTCTCCCTATTGCTAACAGTCATGCTTCCCCATTGTAATAATCCCTTATCCCCCCTTGGAGATAATCCTTTTGAATAAAAGTCTCTTTACAAAGTCAGATTTGTTTTTTATTCAATGCCACTTCCAACTAGCCCAGTGATTATACAACTGATGAATTGAGACATCGCCAGACAATCGTACTCAGAGACTTTGCTTTCCTAATAAGGGACAGAGACAGCTTGGCTTTAAAACATCTGTCCCATTTCTTCCCCTCCAAACCTCATCCCTGAGAGATTATCTAGACTCTATGCTGAACTGGGTTTGCTGCTTAGCAATAAAACTTACACTCAACTCTCAGTTTTCAGTGTTTTTTTTTTAATTCTTTTAACAGTTCTGAACATCCTATCAAGACCACCCAAATTAATCATGTACTGGAGGAGATAGATCATCAATACTTGAACCCTGGTTTTAACTTTTTTCTTTTTCCTCTCCTTTCGAGGAACCAATCATATTCACTGAACCTACTTTGGCTCTTGCTGTGTTTGTTTTGCTCTGTCTCATGCATTTCTGTTTATTCTGGTTCATAGCCATGTGGTCTTTCTGTGGATAGATATGGAGAGGGAATTTGATTTCTTCCTTGAGTTGCACAAGCAGAGGAAAACTGTTCCTTTCTGTTAGCCCATCTGTGTCTTATCTCAGATATTCCATAGAAGATTCCTGGTTTGGGCCATACCCCTTTTAGCAACACAGGTTCAGGGACTACTGTGTAACCAGAAAACTATGCCAATATCTACTGTATGGAAATAGTAGTGTCCAAGTGTATAAGTGTATCCACTGGCTGTTGAAGGAATTTCCTTTTTGTTTGTTATGAGGTCTGTCAATTTAAAGAATCATTTTTCATCACTCATTAGGACTCTTGGACATTATATATATGTTCATTGTAATCCAAATTTATGTACATATATAATAAAATGACATAATTATACCAAAGATTGTTTAGAATTACAGTGACCACTTTTGGGAATTATTTCAACAAGGTCTTACACTTCCATAGCACTTTAGAATAAAAAGGAGGGAAAACCCAATCTGCAATAGTCTGCCTTTTTTGACTGATACGCCAAAGCAACTAAATGCCTCAGTAACACAAAATTAACTTCATTGAAGACTTCCCTTGCAGAAGCTAAAGAAAAGGCGTGCCGCTGTTCTTAATCTAACCTTTCCCAACAGCCCCTCCAGTTCCTCTATCTCTTCCTATTCCTGTCTTGCTGCCTCCAGGACTCAATTTCTACCCTATCTTACAGAATCCCAGCATTCCAATTCTTCGGGAGAGGAAGACCTTGTATTTCTCTCAACTTCCTTATCCTCATGGGGTTACAAAACTCCTTTTCCCTTTAGATTTGATAACTCTGTCTCCTCCTTGTTACTGAGCACACGCAGAGTAAGGGGCAGACTATCTCACAATTCCCTTTAAGGACTTATCCTCATCCCTCAGGAAAAGATCATGCGGTTTTAAAACTATAGTCTCAAGAAAAACTCCATATTACAGAAAAAGAGTTCCTGAAGTCCACTGGGGATGGGAAAATGTTTATTGAGATGTTTAGAAAATGTTTGTTGTTATTGTTATGTTCTGTCAAGTTGATTCTGACTCATAGTGACCGTATAAGACAGAGAACTACCCCATAGGATTTCCTAGGCTGTAATCTTTACAGAAGCAGATCATCAGGTCTTTTCCTCTGCAGAGCTGCTG